GGCTTAGATGAGGGATGGGGGATTGTGAGGACAAGCAATGCAGGGAATCAGATGGAGCTGAGGGATATTAAGGTCAATGGCTAGGACTGAGTGATGGACTAGACATAGGGGGAGGATGACTGCCTCAAGTTTCTCTTTGCTCAGCCAGCTGGTAGGTGAACAGCTAAATAACCAAATGAACATGTGAATGAGGGAGAGAAGGAATAAATGGTGGGCTGAGTTAGGGACATAAATGAACATGTATAAGCACTCAGACCACATGCTTACCATCCTGGGGAGGCTCTGGACCAGCACAGGCATCAGAGGAGGAGTCAGCTTCCACTTCCCCGCCTGCCGGCAGCCTGCCATCCCCATTCGCTGTTGCGGGAGGCGAAGCGGCAGCCCCAGCCCTGGAAGCCGCCCTCATGGAGCAGGAGGCTTCGAAGCTGGAATTGTCCACGTCATCCGTTTCTTCCGGGGTGTTGGAGGAAGAGTCTGTGCCCTCGGAAAGCCCACTCCAAGGGAACGACGTCTCCTGACCTCTCAGCTGCTCTTCCACAGCGGCCACAGAGCCACACACCTTGGGGAGGACAGACGAGAGCACTGGTCAAGAGCTTCTCCTGCAATTAAACATCTAACAGTTCTCTTAGGCCTAAGGAGGGAGAGAGACACTGGAGAATTAAATGCTTATTGCTTTCCCTGGAAGAACAGCATCTTTCCTAGGGAGAGAGCTGGTCTTGCCCCCACCCACCCCAGCACATGACCCAGATGGGCCAATCACAGTATTCCCTTCCTCTGACTTTAATGGTTGGTCCAGATTTGGGCATGTGACCCAAGCAGTCCAATAAGAATCCCAGAGAGGGATTCTGATCCTCTCTGGGATTCTTCCACTTAAAGCTTACTGAGGAAAGGCTCTTCTTTCTTTTCTAGTGGCAGAGCCAGACTCCCCACCTTACACAGAAAACCCATTTACAGCAGGAAAAAAATGAAACCCCCACACAGAGTAAAACAGAGGCTAGGGGCGGAGAGGGAGAGCCACAGGAACAGAGATACAGATAGCTGCACCTTTGCTGGTTGAGACCATGGGTCTAAACTGCCCCAGCAATGCCTGTCCTGCCTGCGGTTTGATTAAATGAGTCAATAAATCATTCATTCACTCATTCATATTCTCCGTCTCTCCTCTCTCTGTCTCGCCAGCTGGGGCCATCTGGGGTCCTTCAAAGTCCAACGACCCCCATTCCTGGGCTCTCAGCTGTCTGCCTGCCATTCCTCGACAGGTAAAGTACATTCTTCACTGGGCGTGTTTGCCCTGACAAACTGGTAGCCCCAGGTAATGCCTAATCTCACAACAGCTCAGGCTGGCTTGTTTCAGCCCATCTTATCAGAGTCACAAACCCCACTGCCCTTCATGGACCCTAAACCTCTTACCTCACCTACAACCAATCAGACTTGTGCACAAGTCAATCAGGCACCCTGTGGCCCTACCTTATAAAACATACTGACAACCAGTCGTTGGTGCTCACGCAGGCACCCCTTGTCTGTGTGGCCACTGTTGACTATGGCAGCAGGACCTAATAAACTTTACTCTCCTCCCTCATTGCTGGTAACTTCTTTTACCAACCAGTGCTACACGGTGTCACCGACCTGCCACTCTTGTGTCCCACAACATGTCTGTGTCTAAGAATCTGAGTTGAGTTTCTATCACTTTCAACTAGAAATGCCCTAAGTAATACAGATGTTGCCCTTGTGGGCTTTTCTGATTAGGGAGGTTAGGAAAATTATAGGGAGATGGGGAAGGAATATTTCTTTACTACACACACACACACACACACACAAATGGCACATAAACATACCCTTAGTAAACATAACAAATCTTATCTGCTCGGTGCCTTACAATTTACAAAGCACATTTGACATGTGATGTACAATGAATTTTTATAAAGAAAAAATTTAAAGATCAGAGAGGTTAATTTCCCTGCCTAAGGTCACCCAGTCAGTGAGTGGCAGAGCTGATCACTGAACCCAAATCTGCTTATATCAAGTCCATGACCTAGGGGATCTCTAATCTGCCTAGCTTGGTTGTGAAATACTGTGGACAAGGACCATTTCTCATTCCTCTTTGTACCCCTAGAGTGCCCTATCCTCTATATTCTACATAGCAATTGCTTCCTCATCCTTCAAGACCCAGTTCAAATGTCACCTCTCCAGAAAAATCTTCACAGTATATGCCTGATAAATATTTGTCAAGCTAAAAACTACATTCCCTTGTGGCTAGGTGTGACCATGTAACGAGGTTCTGGCCAATAGGAGTGTGAGAAAAAGTGATATTTGCACATCCAGGTCACAACCTTAAGAGGAAGAGGGTATGTTCTTCTTTTTAACCCCCTTTCAGTGGCTGGAATGCAGATGTGATGGCCTGAACTACAGCAGCCATCTTGGACTTTGAAATGGAAGCCACATGTAAGGACAGCAGAGCAACAAACAATACAGCAACCTGAATTCCCAACACTGAGGCACTGCCACATCAGCTCTGGACTGCCTATAGTCAAACTGTTAAGCTAAAGAGAATAAACTTCTATATCACTTATTTTGGAGACTCCTCATTATAGCAGCTTCTTTGAATGTACTTTAACTGATACACTGAACAAAAGAATGAAATGAATGAAGAATGAGATGAATGAAGTAATAAAAGCTGAATTAAAGAATAAGTGGTTAAGGAAGAGAGATCTTTTAAAAACATAAATCCAATTATGTCCCTCCCCTCCTTAAAACCCTCAGGGACTTCCTCAAAATCCTAACTGTGCCTGCAAAGCCCTCTATTGTGGGACTCCTCCTTCAGGAGCCGCCTCATGGCAAGCCACTGCCCCATGTACTCTGTGTTCTAGCCAGTCTGACCTTCTTCCAGGCCCTTGACCATCCAGGCTATCTCTCACCCCAGGCTATTTGCATGAATTGTTCCTTCTGCTTGGATTGCTCTTCATCTGCTTACACATCACTTCCTCGCCAAAGGCTGGGGTAGGGCCCCCGCTAGACACTATTCCAGAGCTCCCCAGATGGTTTCTGCACAACGTCTGTGAACTCCAGGAAAGTGGAACTGGGCTTGCTTAGTTTCCCGATATATCCCCGGGCCCAGCACACAACTGCTGAAAGAGTGACTGAACACTGCGGCACTTAGGCAGCTGGAGCACAGCCCAGGCGCAGAGCAATGACTTGGTCTCCAGCTCCCACCACCTCACAGTGTGAGATGGTGGACGTGAGCCTGAGCCAGGAGTCCAGAGAGCTCTAACCAAAACTCCCTCTGGCCTCACCTCCTCTCTGGGCTCCGACGTCCCCAGCTATAAAATAGGAAGCTTGGGCTACAGCAGCGGTGTTTGAAGATTTTTTTTCTCAGCCACCAAACCCTTTCCTCAAATAAAATACTGAGAACCCAATACAATTATGAGAAGTGGCAGTGGCTTTCTGGTTGGAGTCATGGGTGGGGCCTACAGCTCCCCACCGCCCGCCCTCCTCCTCCCAGCAGGTACTCCCAAGGCGCCCCTCTCTGCCAGACACCACTTGAAAATCACTCAGTTGGATGACCTCTAAGAGACCACCCAGGCAGTTATTTTGTCCTCAGAAAAACCTAGCAAATTTGGTCCCCAAATTTACACCTGTTACCATGGAAACCACCTCTCCCTATTGCGTCCATAGGAAAAGGTTTTATCTGCTGTGGTGGTTGATTTCTGGGGTGTCTGACCAGCCCATGGGCTAAGGAATGCTCCCCTTCTCTGGCACCTGGCCCCGCCACCTTCCCAGGCTCGACCTCCTGGCCACCAGGGTTCTATAGCGGACCCCACCCCCTCTCACCTTACTTGATTGGCCGACCGGGTGGACACTTGACCCTAGCTAGGCCAATCAGGTTCTCTCACTGAGAGGCTGGAATTGGGACCTGGAGCCCTGGCTTCTCAGTGAACACAGAACTATGACACGTAAAAGAGTATAACTGTATGCCCTGACCAGGAGGATGAGGGGAAGGAGAAGGGCATACAGAGAGGAGGAGGAATGAAGCAGGTTCTGAGAAAGTACGTCTGCTAATTGCAACCAAATCCGGCCCTCGTGTATGAAATCACTTCTCAGTGAAGGGATGGTGACCGAGGGCCTGGTACAGCAACTCATGCGGTCGGGAAAGTGAGGCCCAGATGATCCAGGACGGGGCTCACCGCTGGGGAGAGGCTGAGCGGCAGACTCACCTCCGCCAGGCTGGCGTTGCGCCTCCGCAGGCAGAGGCAGACGGCCGCGGCCAAGGCCTCCCCGCAGGCCTCCGGCAGCCTCCCTGCCCTCTTCTCCAGGTATTTCTCACAGATCTCCTTGGCCATCACTTTCTCCACGCCCGCCTTTCTGGAGCAGAGCGACATGCTGCTGCTGGGAATTTCACTGAGGAGTAGATCCTTCTGTGGGAAGAAGAGTGGAAACGCCCAGGTGTGAGGTGCAGGGGTTTGGGGGTCCCACCACATGTGCCCCACCCACCTCCAGGACTGCACCGGGCCTGCAAACACTCAGAAAACAAACAGGATTTTTTAAAAACTAATTGCAAGGACCACAGAAACAAGTTAAAACAGCCAAGAACCGGAGAATTGTTAAATTCCTCACAGATACAGGTCATTCCATAGCACACTCATATCGCTAGTGTGATACTTAAAGTAAATATTCAGTAGTTTATTAGTGATAATAATTAATAGTAATAATAGCTACCATTTATACAGTACTTGTCACATTCTGAGCACTTTCCTTACACTAATAATTTATCTTATTAACATTTACAGGAATAATCTCTTGTGATATAAAATAAACATTTTAGGCTGTAGCATTCTGGCCCATGTATATTTAATAGGAGATTTACTACATAAATAATTATTATGTATATTTTTATATTTTATAAATTCTGTATTTACATGTTATAACATTTTATGCTACTTAGAAAGCAGAAATCTGAACTATGCATAAAACAGAAGATATGTTATATAAATAGTAATGAATATATTTCTATACAAATATATAAGTATATGTGTATAACAAATTGTTACATAATGTTTCATATGCATATATTTACTTATTTGTAAGTATATAAATAAGTTACAAATATATTAAATACTAATATCAATTAAATACATTAAATATAGGAAATTAATATGTAATATAATTAGGTATAATATCAATTGATATAATACTGCATTAATCTATTATATATTATATTAACATATGAAACATTTATATTTGTGTCTATATTTTTGGTATATTTATTTGTGTGAATAATATAACTTTCATATATAAAATTTCCATGTATATTCTACATATATACACATTTATATACATATGACATACTGTATACTTTAAACAATATGTTATATATGTACATATTTGTAATTATATTTCATAGATATAGTCTTTTATTAGTAAACATAACTATATAAAATATTTTATATCACTATATTATATAATATACAAATATGTAACATATTTATCTATAATATATAACATTTTAAAAACTATATAAAATATTTATATAGAAATATTTCAACACACTTTGTTATATAAAATATGCATTATATATAATATTTCATAGTATACAAAATGCAAAAATGAAGAAAATCCATGCTCTAAATAATATAAAATATAAATATATATTTAAATATAAATATGTAAATAACATAAACCATGTGTATATAGACATACATAAACACCAGAGGGCAGGGTGTCACATGTTAGTAGTAGTCATCTCCAGAATGATTTCTATTTTGTTTTTTATACTTTCCTATATTTAACAACCATTCTACAAGCCTGTTTTGCACTTATATTTGAAGAAATAACATCAAGAGTTCCTGATGTCTCGTAATACTTCCCATCTGTTAACAATGGTCTTCAGAAACCCCAGATTTTGTGACAATCTGGCCTCTGCCAACCTATCCTATCTTCTTTTTTCCTTCTCTCCCTCTAGCTCAGTGTACTCAATCACTCTGTCTCTACCTTCTGTCTTGGAAGCCCCTAAGCTCATCCTGCCTCAGGGCCTTTGCACTTGCTGTTCCCGCTGTCTAGAATGTACCTCCCTTGAGTTTTACCATGTCCTGGTCCCTCACTTCAGTCTCTGCTCTAATGTCACCTTTACCAAGAAGCCTTCCCTGATCATTAAGAGCCCTCCCCTAACTCCATAACTCTATCCCCTAACATTACTTCCCATTTCTTCATAGCACTAACCACCAGCCTCAAATTACACACGTTTTCATTTACTTAAATATCATTTGTTCTCCCCCACCAGAATGAGTGCTCCACGAGGGGCGGAACTTTAGCTTGTTCACCTTTGTATCCAAGCACCAAGAACAGTACCCGGCACATAGTAAGTGTCTCATAAATGTTTTCACAAATTGTACACATGAACTTAGTTTTTGGCTGAGTGTCTTTTCCTTTTTGTATGATTTTATTATTTTTAACAGAAGTGACTCATTAAATGTAAAGCTAAATTTTTATGGCTTCATACAGGTTTTTGTACAAATACAGTTATAATTCAGAATAAAAGATTATCAGAGACTATCAGACATGGGTCCTGATATTTGCTTTAAAAACAAAACAGAACAGCCCCCACCCTGACTCAGTTTCCCCATGGAGAAAATGGGTCATCTAAGGTCCTAAAATACTTAGACATCTAACACCATCAGCAATTAAATACCCAGAGACTAAAAACCTCAAGCTGCCACGTAAGCTCTGCCTTTTTAAATGTTTATCTTTTTAAAAAGTGTAATGGTGTTTAAAGTTGACAAATCAGTTAAAAAGGAGTAGAAGCGTATTATTTACAGATGTGGAGGTTACTAGCATCTGAAACAGAATCAGAAACTGTTCAGAGTGATCGCCCTGAAAGAACAGTGGAAGTAGACGCTCACCACATCACCACCTCCAATGAAACTGTGGATCTTGTCCAACAAGGGTCACCAGGAGATGCTGACCTTCCTCAAGAACACTCCTTGGTGGGGAGGTGGGGGGCGTGGGGTGGTAGAGCGTGTGCTTAGCATGCACAATGTCCTGGGTTTAATTCCCAGTACCTTCATTAAAAAAATAATAAAAACACTCCATGGCAAAGTGATAGGGAACTTAGTAATGGAGGGACTCAGCAACTCCACCTGGACCCTGATGAATCTCAGCACCGAAAGTAGGGCAATCTGCCGCACGCATCATGTTGTGATGCAACAGGAAGTACACAGAGCCATCCAGAAGCAGTGCTGACCATGATTCTAATCAAGTCTCAAGAGCTGACAACCAGGTCACAGGAAACAGGAGGAAGAGAGAAACAAGTCAAGGCTACCACAAAATGCAATCAGAAAAATCCAGAATGTGAGACAATCTACGGTACAAGTGACCCACTTTATGCAAAAATGCGATGCTAGACAGAAAGAGGGGGGAGGGGGTGCAGCTAGAGACCTGGAGCCTTCAGAAACAGAACCAAAGGTGACATGTGGACCTTACTTAGATCCAGCTTCAAACAAACCAACTTTAAAAACCAATTTCTGAGATGATTTGGGAAACCTACAAATGGAATACGTAGTTAAATGATAATAAGGAATTAAACTATATTTTATGGATGAAATAACATAATATCTGGGATTTGCTTTAAAATACACAAACAAAAAGGTCTGGGGTGCAAAAGAAATAAAAGCATGGAGTGGCTGGGGAGGGGCAGAGAAAAAGGAAAGAAAAGCATGTTGATCACTGATGGGATGAACAAACAGAGATTCCTATATTCTCTTTACTTCTGTGTACGTCTAAAGTTGTCTATAATGAAAAGGGCTTTTTAAGGAAGAAGTCATCCCTGAGGGCAGAGGCCAGGGAAAGAGGCATGGAGTTGCTACCTTGTGCTGTTAAAATTTTCTAAGCCAAGTAGTTAGGTTACTTGAATTAAAAAAAAAATTAAGCTTTTTCTTTTGAGGGGGGAAGTAATTAGGTTTTATTTATTTATTTTTAATGGAAATACTAGGGATTGGACCCAGGACCTGGTGCATGCTAAGCACACACTCTACCACTGAGCTATACCCTATGCCCCTAAAATTTTTAATTAAACAGAAATTATTACGAAATCACCAATATTATAAAAAACATTTTTTGTTAAAAACTAAAATAGAAGCAGTTGAAGATTTAGGGCAAAAGTTTATCTTTCCTGCCATTTCAATTCTCCAAAGGTAAGCCCTGCTAACAGTTTGGATTATATTATTCTAGACTTTCTGCTATAAAAGTTCACAGTTAAATCACTTTAGTTATATATAAAATTATGATAATAGCAAGCAACCTCCTAAGAGCTATTAAAATCAGAGTTTTCATAATGAAAGTAATAGTCACCACACATAGTGCTTACTATGTTCTAGTCATCGTTTTAAGTACTTCACATATATTTAACTTTTCACTAAACCCTGTCAGGTAGATACTATAACTAGCCCCAAATAAATAAGAAAATATAAGTTACGATTTTTTAATTCATTGATCTCTTTATTACCAAAGATGGGAATCCCACGACATACTGTGCTGAACTTGCTTTTCTCACTTGCAGATATTTCTCTATCAGAATATATGTCTTTCTCATTTAAAGAAAAATAAGAATGTTTATGTTAGCTTTATTCAGAATTAGCAAAACTTGGAAACAACCCACATATCTAGCAACTGGTGAACGGATAAACAAATGGTCGGACACGCGTACAGTAGAATACTCCCCAGCAGTACAAGGAATGAACCGCCGATATGTACAACACGGACCAAACGGGAAAGCACCACGCCAAGTGGACGGAGCCGGAGACAAAGGGGCACACGCTCTAGATTCCACCCACCTGAACTCCAGCAGAGACAGAACTATCTGACAGAAATTAGATCAGGAGTTGCTGGGGGTTGGAAGTGGGGGAGAGGGACTGACTGTAAAGGGGCCTGAAGGAACTTTCTGGAATGACAGAAACATTCCACATCTTGAGTATGGTGGTTACATTTGTCAAAACTCATACACTGTGTGTACCTCAAAAGTGTGAATTACACCTCAATAGAACGAATGCCTATGTCCACGCTGAGACCCCCACACAGAGGTACCAGATGCTTTATTTGTAAGAATCAAACGCTGGAAACACCCTAGATGTCATCAACAGGTGAATGACAAACGGTGGCAAATCCGCACACTAGGACATCACTTAGCGCCTAAGACCTCCCAACACACACACAGAGCACGGGTGCGTATCTGAACAGCTGTGCTGAGTTGGAAAGGCCAGACAACAGCAGGGCGCACACACACTCTCTACGGTTTCACTTACGGGGAACTCCAGAAATTGGAAACTTTTGTACAATTGTACAGTGATAGCAGGCAAACTGATGGCTGCGGGGGGTGGCAGGGACTGGGAGGGGTGGGGGGAGGCGTGCAAAGGAGAAGCGGCAACTCCTGGGGGAGCGCGCATGCTCATTATCTGGTTTGGGGGACAATTTCATAGACATGCATGTATGTCAAATTCTATCATATTATATCTTTATCCTCATTATAAATATTTACAAATGTATAAAGTGTTTTTATAAGCAACTTCATGGTATTCCATGTTGTGTGTGATCACACTGTCATTTCTTTAACCACCTCCCAACTGACAGATATTTCACTTGTCAGCAGCGCTTCACCACTGCACCTAATGCTGCAGCGAACATCCTGGTCCATCTGTCTTTCCTCACTTGTGTGCATTTCCCTAGTGTACAAGTGGTACATACATTTTAAATTTTGATGGAAACCACCCAAGGACCTCCAAAGACATTGCAGCCATGAACGTTCCTGAGGGTTGGGGAGATCCCTACTCCCCCCATCCTGGACCATACCGGGCAGCAGTTTTCATCTCTGACTTGAATCTTAACTACATGTACAATTAATTACAGGTCCTGCAGCAGGAGATGATAAGAGACTGTATCTGGGACTAGAAGAAGAGAAAGAAACTAGATTTTTAAAAATTATTTCCCCCATATTTTTAGAAACCATTTACCCAAAAAGCCTTCTAGAAAATTTCCCACAAGTGTCTCAAAAGGCTCATTCTCCTGTGACATTCACCCAGGGAGCCCCAGAGGAAGGTTGGGTGACGCATTCTGAGAAAACTGTCAGCATATGAGAAACTGTCCCAAACTGTCCTGAACCACATCTGAGCTGCCCAAACTGACCTCTTTGCAGTAGAGGGGGCCGGTGCCCCAAGGGGCAGAGCTCTGGGGATTCAGCAAAGGGACAGGTCCTGACTGTCTCTGTGCAGGGGAGGCCTTCCACTCCCCAGCCCAGGGCTCAAGGGATGCTTTGAGAGCATAGTCACAAAAAAACCCAGCAGCTCCAGTGGCCTCCACGTCAAGTCAGGAAAGTGCTCCCCTCCCAAACAGGTCAAGAGGACTAGAACACGCATAGGGGGCAGAACTCCACACAAGACATGGGTTCAGATCCCTGCTCCACCACTGATCTCACTGCAGAGGGCAAGAAACCACTCTCTTCACCTTGACCATAGTTTTCTCAACTGTAAAATGGGGAAGGTAACAATAATGAATCCATATGGTTGGACTGTCATGAGACTTAAACAGTCAGGAGACCATCGAGGTTAAGAACTTGGGCTCTGAAGTCCTGATTCGGAATTCTAGCTCTGACATTTAGTAAAGCTGAGATCTCAGGCAAACCTCAGAACCTGCTTTCCTCAACTGTAGGAACAGAAAGACTTTATTAACCTCATGGGGATTCCGAGGTGACTTAGAAAGATAATGTATATAAAGTGCCAAACACAGAGTCAGGCTGTTTTGTTATATTTTTGAAATGACACTATACACACATACATGCACACATATTTAAATGACAGTTCTTTAAACCTACAAATGGCAATTACAATTTTCATTACAGAAACCTGTTTAAAAGGACTGAAATTAACTTTTACCACTTTAAAGACAAACCCTATTTGACTGCCTGACTTGTAGAGAGAAGATATGGGTTTCCCCTAAACATTCTAAATTCTATTATCAGGAAAAAGTAATTGTTGGCTGGTGGGTGAGAAGGGGAGTTTACAGCTACTTTGCATGCACAGATGCATATCAAACTCCGGACTGAGGCTTCATTAGCATCTGTAAAATGGGTACAGTGGAGGACCCTGCCCTCCCTATCCCTTGACCCCACATAGCTGTGAGCCAAAAGTAACTGATTCCCTTACCAAGTAAACTGGGCTTCGCTTGTTATCCATCGCAGGGATGCCCGTGAGGACCTCAGCTAACACCTGGAGAAAACAGAGTTAGCACGGTTCAGACATGCATGCACAAGTTCAGGCGGGAGATTCTAGCTAAAATGAGAAGCTTCTTCTCAGGAACGAAGTCTAAGCTCCAGGCCCGGCTCTCCCATTGGCCAGCACAGACACTTGCCCCAAATCTGGAACTTGGGAATGTCACTAAATACCTCCTCCAACTAAACATGCTGTCAGCTGCTAGGAGAACATTTGAATTAATTGATAGGAAGGCAGGAAGGTTAGAAACCGAATGTGTATGTATTTCCATCAGATAAGTAGATATACACATACACACATCTCTCTATATATATACGTATATACATCTATCTGTACACATGTACATATACATACACACACAAACACTATATTTTAAAGATAATTTCATTTAAAACCCATCAGAAATGGTAAGCAAGCATTGCTATGTCAATCTCAGAAAAAGAAGGAACCCATGTGCAGATACCCACTCTAAACAGAAACCCTTGGCAACACCCATAGCATGTTTCATCCACAGGCCTTTATTAACATTATTTGTTCATTAATTCATCCATTCATGAATGGAGTACAGCCCTGAGCCAGGATAAGCCACGGCAAAACTGTGATATGTGTCTTAATAAATGGGAAACCTGCTTTGAACAGGGCTCCTTGGCAGACATAGCACACTGGTTAAGGGGTCTATAGTCAGACAGGCCTGGATTCAAATTCTGACTCAGTTCCTTACGTGCTTAGGTGATCTTTGGGCAAGGAACTAAAATCTGAGACCATATCCTTCTCCAGGACATCCTGATCTAGCACTTCTAAATAGAGGGGGTGAGTACCCCACTTAAGTGTCAAACCTCCCTCCCACAACTTCTCTCAAAGTCAGAACAGGCTCATATTGCTGCCAAGAAATCCTCCACCTTCAAAGGAAGGGCCCGCGTGGTTACTAACAGACTGGCAGTGGCCTGGAGGGGGCAGGAGAGGGCACTCCTGCAGCTGGTGGATGGGAGCCAATTAAAGAGGGACTCCTGACCAGCTCCTGCCAAGAAGGGAGGAAAGAAAAAGAAGAAATGAATAAACAAACATTTCCTCTGCCCCTTCTACATGGCAGGCCCTGTGCTGGGCCTTTGACAGAGGTCACCTAGTGCTCATCAAAACATACCGAGGAACGCAGCGTTCCCCACAAGAGGAACCGAAGTTCAAAATCATACCATCTGTCAGTGGCAGCGCTGAGAAAAAGACTGAAGGTTTGGAATTTGGGATACACACTAGTATATATATCAAATAGATAAACAAGGATCTACTGTATAACCACGGTAATAATAATCATCTTGATCTATGCAACATACTCTGCTAACCAGTTCACATACAGCATCTTACTAATCTCCATATGTGTCATTACCCCTATTTTATGGAGGACAAAACTGAGGCCCAGAGTTACAGGTGATGCCCTAGCTCACGTAGCCGAAAGGAACTGAGCTGGGACTCAAATCCATGCTCTTACACTCTGCAGGATCCTGTCTGGCAGCCTCAGGGGCTCGGTGCTGCTGGTTCTTAAAGGAGCGGGACCCCAGGCTGAACCTGCTGAGCTTCACTGAGCCCCTCGCAGTGGGGGTGGGGGGACAAGGAACCCAGAAGAACCAATGGGCTGGGAGACAGAGGGAAGCAGAATCTGGCATGTGGTGGCTGGGCTGAAGGCAGAAGGTGGCTCAGAGGAAGGGCATTAGCTGGAGAAGCAGATCGACGGGAGACTGCAGTCAGAGAGGGGAAATGCAGCGTTTGAGGCTGGAGAGGAAGTGTGAAGGCGAGGTCCAAGATGCAGCTCTTGGCTCTTGGCAGAGGTTAACCAGAGCCTGCCCCTCTTTTCAGCCAGCATTTCCCAGACTGGGTTCCATGGGTCTCTGATGCTTAGTGATCCTAAGAAAACATGGTTCTGCAGGCAAATGAATTTGGAAAACAGTCCATACCGATCGTGGTAAACTCACAATTATCAGATTAAAGGCTTATTACCATATTGAAGGCTCTGACTAATTCTGTGGTAACTTATTTTTTTCCTGCTCAACTTTGCTCAGCCCAGCACTTCTCAAACCTACTTAGACACATCAAAACCCTTTATTCTTTTTGCTTGTTTTGAGGGGGGAGGTAATTAGGTTTATTTATTTATTCATTATCTATTTTTGATGGAGGTTCTGGGGATTGAATCTAGGACCCCGTGCGTGCTAGGCACATAGTCTACCACTGAGCTATACTCTCCCCCGTCTCAAAACCCTTTAAACACATCAAACCCATTGAGATCTCAGGGAAATGGACTTTGGAGGCTGTTACACTCAAACTGTGAACTCCTAGGGGAGGGCTTGTGTTTTAGTTACATTTACATTTCAAGGGCCCTGCACACAGTAATGATGATCGGTGGTGGTGAAGAGGAGGGAGGTGGGATGGGATTACATACTGAGTGGACAGGTGGCATTGGATGGATGGATGGACGTTGGATGAATGGCTGGATAGATACCTGGGCTGATGGATGGACAGGTGACAAAACAGACAGACGAACAAACAAGAATAAACAATCAGAGAGACAATTAGATGGCTGGCTGGATGAGGAATCAGGGAAGTCAGGAGATATCTGTAGCCTACAAGAATCTGGACACTCACGGGTGGCTTTACTTCAAGGGCTGGCAAACTTTCCGTAACAGGCTAGACAATAAATATCTGAGGTTTTGTGGGCCAGAAACAGTCTCTGTCACACATCCTTTTATTATTATTATTACTATTATTCAATCTTTCATAAATGTAAAAACTATCCTTAATTATAGGCCATACAAAATAGGCCATGGGACAGTTATGACCTGTGGGCCATAATTTGCCAACCCCCGCTGTACGTGGTGGAACATTTCTAAGAGCCTCTATTATATGCTGTGCCTACAAAGGAGCCGTGGGAAGGGCAGGCCCTCATCTAAGCAGAGAAGAAAGCTCTTACTATTCCACAGCTGAAGATGTCCACTCGCTTTGTTAGCTGCCCTACTCTGATGAAGTCTTCTGGAAGATAGGCAGCTGAGGCCTGGAAAAGGTGGGTCTTCATCATGGTGTATTTTGACTTCTTGCTAACAGGACACAGGTGAGCCATCGGATGAGCCAGCTTGGGGGTGAAGTTTTGGTCTAGCAGAACATTGGAGCTGTGGGGAAAGCAAGCAGAGAGAATGTTCTCATTTTGAGGTGGACAGGCGAGGTTGCCATGGAGAGAGACCTTCTGGAAAAGAACTTATTAGTGAGCAGTGCCAGCAAGTTAGGGTCACTGAGGACCCTCTACAAGGAGCTTATGAGCCACCCCTGATAGGCGGAGGGATAGACTGGAGCCTACCTCCATCAGCAAATGGGGATGGTGCTCAGATGAGTCTGGCTGCCCCAGAAATGGCATTTGGTGGCCAAAGAGGTGCAGCCATCCTGATCCCCATGGATGTCAGCCCTCATCAGCTGCAGCCTGCCAAGCCCACAGGCTGCACTGGCTCCATCCTTTCCAAAGCTATTCCAACCCCCAGCTCTCGCCCAGGTGACTCAAGTCCACATGCTCAGATTGTGAGGAAGAAGAGCAGTAAAAACATCGTGGACCCAGTCATCTAAACCAAGGGAACGGACACTCTCAGAAATGACTCCAAAGGAAAACTCAAGACATTTTAAAAACTAAGCTACATGTATAAAAATATTTCAACTAACCCCAAGTGGTTTTTCAAACGTAGACACTAATTCCAGTACCTGCCATTGGAAGTGGTTATGTAAATACTGGGCAGATACCTTCAATGGAAGACTAAAAGGTGGCAAAAAATGATGACATGCAATGTGGGGAAATGTTGAGCATGTTTAAATCATGGTGGGGGAAGAAAATATGAATTCGTAATGAAGTAACGGTGCGCCCTTAGGGCTAAGACTTCTGTGTAGGCAGAGGCTGGAAAGAAAACAGGAAAATGGAGGCCAGCTGATGAGTCAGGGCAGTGGGGCCGGGACGACCTCTTGCTTTTTCACTTCCTTTTTTGCTATGATAATTGTGAATCAAATAAAAATAAGGGGGAAGAAAAAGACGAAAGGGCTTCCACTTGCCAAATGGGAAGAGAACTCTGGGCAAATGTGAGTTCTACGGTTTCGAGGTCAGCTTCACCAGACCTTCTGGTCTTCTGGCATCCCTCCCATGCTTCCAGTCCCCAGACAGGCACCTCCTGCTCCTGGGAGTGTGGTACTGAGATGCGGAGGGTCACACCTAACCTGAGTCATGGCAGGTCTCCCAGAAGACCCTGAGCAAGGAGCTCAAAAGCCCAGGGGGCCTGGCAGACACGGCCCACAGCTCAAGGACCCGGTCCAGACCAGCTGCTGGAGGGGAAGTGAAATACAGCAGGGGTGCGAAGGGCTTCTCGGGGAAATAGCAGTCCAGAAAGATGAACGTGGAGACAGGCTGCTCATGTTGACAGCAATCAGACAGACCGCAACCCAGAAACACTGATTTTTGAGGCTGTAACAAGAAAGAAGAGACCCAGGAAAAGCGAGGAGGGGAGAGAAAGTCAACGGGAAGAGAGATGGAGGGAGAGGAGCAGGACCCAGGAGCATGCACTGTCTCATCCCAGCGGCCCCGGGCCCTGGGCGGAGCCCAGCCCACCCTCTTACCTCTTAATGTTGCTGTGGATGATCTCCAGGCCATGCAGGCGCTCCACGGCACGAAGCAGCCCTGAGCAGATGCTGACGCGCCGGGGCCAGGGGAGGGGGTCTGAGCCATCCTGAGAGAAAGAAGAGGAGGAGGAGAACAGTCACCTCTGTGCCTTTTTAAAGTCCCGATGGCGGGGTCCTGGCTTCCTGTCTCCCCTCCAGCCCTCATGTCCTTTGCAACAGGGCTCGGCCATCATGGTTCACTGGCGCGGTACCAGTTTTGACATCAGACAGATCTAGGTATAAATCCCAGCTAGGAATGTGTGACTTTGGAGAAGACACTCAACATTTCTGGGCCTCCATTTCTTCAGATATAAAATAGAAATACTAATCCCTATGCTTTAGGGTTGTTTTAAAGACTCAGACAAGCACATAGGAGGCCCCTAGCATAGTGCCTACCACACAGTAAGTGCTCAATAACAAGCAGCTATTTTATCATGACTATCACAGTGGTAACTCTGGAATTTTTTTCTAGGAGGGGCTGGTTCGCTGAGGAGCTAGGTGGCTTGTGTTGGCACACCAACCACATGGGCCTTGCACCAATTTTATGAGTATTTGCAGAGATTTCATAAGAGCTGATGGGGACTGTGAGTGGGTTAAGTTCTCCAACCTTTCCTCAGGTGCTGATCTAAGACAGAGTCCTCAGGTGATATCACCAGTTAAACTTTTCAGGTCCTATCTTAGGTCCCATATCCTCTAAGAACTGGCCATACTAATAGATTTCTTCTCCAAAACTCTGAAATCTGAAGCCCTGCAACCCCAGTTTAAACTCTAGCCCTGACACTTGTCAGCTGTGTTCCTCTGGGTAAGTCAATTTGCCTCTCTGTGCCAGAGACTCCTCTTTTTGAAAATGTGGGAAATCTCTGGGGCTGTGGCAAGGCCTGAAGGAGAGGTGGAAAGCCACTCTCATAGTGTCTTACACACAGTGAGAGCTCAGCAACGTTAATGATCATTACTATACTGTGAATAACTGCTTTGTCTGGTCCTTGCCAAGGGAAGCAATGATTCTGTTGTGGAATAACATTTTCCCCTCTGTTTGAGGATTTCATGGGAAGGAACTTTGTCTGTCTTAAAAACTGTAATTTTAATAGGTATTACACTTACATGGTGTGATATGCAAAAGGTACAAAAGAGTATGGAGTAATAGTTTCCCTCCCATCCTGTATCCCAGCTTCCTAGTTCTCCCTAGAGGTAGCCAGGCACCAGTTTCTTGTATCTTTCCAGAGATATTCCATAAATTCACAAGCAAATAGGAATTTACTAGAATAGCATTTTTTATTAAAAATTTGCCTCCACTCTTCCATACTGTTTATTCTTTTTCTTGCCCTATTGCATTGGCTAGCAACATCAGAACAATGTTGAATAAAATTAGCGTTATGGGGTACCTTTGTCTTGCTTTTGGCTTATATGACTCTGGTCAAAAAACTTTTTAAATAGGTTTTTACCTGAAGATGTTTAACCAGATCTCCTCTATCCTGGCCCAGTGCCTCTCCTTGAAGGGCCTCTGTGAATGGCCTTGATTCTCTAACTGGGTGCTGTCTAGTTCTGTTCTTTGACCATGACCCAGCCCCTTACCTGATCCTGGAGTCTGTCCTGTAAGGAACCATTTGCCATGTATGGGTAAATCAAGCTGAAAAACTGTTTTCCAGTGCAAAAGCCCAGCAGAGGTAAGATGTTGAGGTGGCAGCATCTGAAATCAGGCATCAGTGCGGGAATGAGGAGTCAGACAGAAAGAATAATCAAAGACTGTTCCATTTCCTATCTTCTACCCTCTCCACCCCTCTGAGCCCACCAGTAACCTCCCTGGTACCACATGCTCTGACCCCTGAGAGCGCAGCACCAGGGTAGACAAATGACAACTGCTTGCCTTCAAGGAGCTTGAAATCAAAGAACTTGAAGTTATCCCGACCCACTGCTCTGCAGCACGTGACACCCTAACCACCTGTCTTCTAGAAGCAGAGGCTTAGAGGTTAAGGGACTTGCCCAAGGTCACGACTAGCAAGCACTGAAGCCAAGACCAGATCCCAGGTCTATTTGACTCCCAGGACTGGGGTTCTTCCCTGAAATCCTCTTTGGCTGGGTTCTGAGTCACTGTTCCCTCCTGCCTTTCTGACTGCTTTTTCTTGGTTTCTCCACTAAGACTCTCCTCCTTTGCCTTCCTCTGAAACCTGAGTCTCCCCAGCTGGGCTCATCATCTTGTTTTACAAGCTGCTCCTCCAGGAATCTCTCACCTCTGTGATGAGCACCCCCAAATCTCTCATCTCCAGGCCCATCCTACACTCCAGACCTGAATGTTGAATTGCATCCCGAAGCTCCAGTAAACAGCTGAGACTCAACAAGTTCCAAATCTGCTTCTCCGCCCACAGTTATTTCCTCAGCACAGCACACCACCATCCATTCAGTTTCCTAGAAACCTCCTTCCCTCCCCAATCCAGTTAGTCACCATTCACTGCCATGAATATCTTTCAGAATGCCCCCTTCATTCTCCCCTCCTCTGCCTTGGGTCAGACCCAGATGGACTCTCCCCAGCACTGCAGCCTCCTGCCTGATCCCTCAACCCCGCTCCGCTCCCCCCAGGCCATCCCATAGCACACTTTCACACTCATTACAGCAATCTACACTTCACTCTCCCCACTGGACCGTAAACCTCCCCAAGGCAGGGGCTGTACTCCCGAGAGCTGAGAAAGGCCCTGAAGACTCACATACGCCAAATCAACCAAATCAACAAATGAAGGAATGACAGCCAACTTAAGGAGGGCACGATGCCAGGGTAGAAAGGAAATCAGGTTTCTAGTCTCCATTAAGTGTGTGTGGAGATAAGTATGTGTATACATGTGTGTGCATGTGTATGAGTTCACACACATGTACAAACAGGATCAAAGAAAACATATCAAAATATTAATACAGTAGTAGTTACTGTGACATGTGATGGGAAATCAGTGACTTCTACTTTTTTATAATTTTCTTTATTTCTTAAAATATTCCACAATCACCATGCAGTGCTTGCCCAAGGCTGCACACTGGCAGAGGAACTCAGACGGTGACTTGCCAAGTTCAGTGACAGCTGGTGTCCAGCATATTAGAGGTGCCCAGTATGTGTGTGTTAAATCCATCAGGCAATGATGGCAGGGCCAGGACAAGTGTCCAGGCCTCCACATATCCTTCCCCTTCTTTTTCCCAGTGTGACCTCCCTCATCCATCCTGCCACGCTGGATGTGACAAGGAGGTTCACTTTACTTAACCAGCCTCAGTTTCATCATCTATAAAATGCAGGCTTGAGGATGACTTTGGAAGGCCCCTATTGCTCAAGACCAGAGGTCAGTCAGATTCATCTGCAAAGAGCTAGACAGTGAATCCTTCAGGTTTTGTAGGCCATCTGACCTCTGGCGCAATCACTCCACAGCGCACTATCTCACAAAAGCAGAGACAATACAGAAAGAAATACATGTGGCTGGGTTGCAATAAAACTTCATTATTGACACTGACATTTGAATTTCATATATTTTTCATGTGTTATGAAATAACCTTTGTATTTTTTTCAACCTTTTAGAAATGTAAAAACCATTCCTAGCTGTCAGGCCATACAAACACAGGCGGGGCCAGGCTGAGCCCATGGGTCATCATTTGCCTTAGAGTTGGAATCAGTAAGTCTCTGCCCATCTCAAAAAATGGGATAAAAAATTTCCTCCCGCTGGAAGGAAGGAGCTAAGTCAATCAAGGGAAGGTTCTTTTATCATTCTAATCTATGTAGATAGTGGCTATGTGGAAAAAGCATGGATTATGGAGCCAGACCAACCTAGATTCAAATTCCAGCTCTGCCACTTACTAGCTGTGTGATCATGGACAAGACACTTAACCTCTCTGTGCCTCAATTCGCCCATGTGTAAAATAATGTAGCTATGTTACAGGGCTCTTGTGAGAATTAAATGAGTTTACATAAAGAGAGTGCTTAAAACATACCTGCCACCTAGAAAGCAGCATGTAAAAGTTAGCTATCATCATTATTAAACAAAGTATTTTCCAAAGGGGAGGCTTACCTTTGACAAATTTGTACCTCTGCCTGGAAGAATTTTTCGACTGATCCTGGCCCTGAGCAGGCCGTCTGTGGGAAAAGACAATGAAACATGAAAATCCAGCCTCAACATGCAGCCTCCACCCCTTCATGGAAACCAAGAAGTGCCCACCTCTCTGAGCTTCTTGAAGACAAACGGCGAGCCGTGCCTCTGTCCTCTGTAGATGTCAGCAAAGGTCCCCTCGCTGATTTTGTGGTTTTGGTTGAAGTTATCGGTTGCCTGGACCACATCCACCTCGCTCCAGAAAAGGCTGTCTCCAGCCAGGCTCAATAGTGTTTCCTGCTTAGGAATGGAGGTGCTGAAATCCTGGGAATTCAGGGGGAAGGGACCAATATTAATATGGAATCAATACAGAAAATATTACTTTCCCTACTACCTCAGGGAATCTTAGAACACTAGAGCTGAGGGGTGGTTTAATTTTTAATCCAACTTGGCTTATATCTTTATACCACTAC